GGTTCCATGCGAATGGGCCCTGCGGTCGGTCCTGGAATAAGGGAACAAACTGTACGAAAGCCTCTAGCTATAGAGGCTAGGGAGGGTTCGCCTGAATCCCCTCGTTCGGTTCTTCCTGTCTACCGAATGAGGGGCCGTTCGGTAGTTAGGAACCGAACGGACCGGGCTGGTGGAGGTTTCAGCGGTGTTCGCCTAGTCGAGTGTCCGATTTGAGTTCCAGACACTCGACGGCAAAACACCGCTGTTCGGGAGTTTTAAAATGGCCGCCGCCACGTGTTCGTTAGTCGAATGGCGGCCACCCCCGAGAACAAAGGACGGCTACCTAACTTGTCAATTACCCGTTTGCAACAATGTTGCAACGGGTAATTGAGGACACACTTCACATAGAGGAGGTCTGATTGTTCGGTAGTTTCATTCCCTTAGTCTATTCAAATGATTCTACCGAACAATCAGAGGAATACAATTCTTTTAAACACATACAAAAAACCAGCAATTTACACGAATGCAGCTATTCACAAGACATTTGCAGGACAGCCCAGTGCCATCCGCTACACACTGTCAAGATGCAAATAAAAACATAGAATGTGAAGGCAGACAAGAACCATTCGGCCCATCTAGTCTGCCCAATTTTCTAAATACTTTCATTAGTGCCTATCCCATGTACGCTTAAACTCCTTCACTGTGTTAACCTCTACCACCTCAGCTGGAAGGCTATTCCATGCATCCACTACCCTCTCAGTAAAATAATACTTTCTGATATTATTTTTAAACCTTTGTCCCTCTAATTTAAGACTATGTCCTCTTGTTATGCTGTTTTTTTCTTTTAAATGGCAACCAGCTGCCATGAGGCTCAGGCCTTGACCCCAATTAATCACTTTAATAAAGATAACTCTTTGGCACAAATAAAAACTGACAAATAGTATCACCATCCAAAAAAACTAATAAAAAAAATTAGTACTCTCCATTTACCGACCTTGGTACTCTTATAGTTCCAGTTATGTCTTGTTTTTTCTGGGCTTTTAAAGCGAATTTGATATTTGTACGCTTGTCCTCAACAAGTAGAACCTGAAATGTAAAATACATATATATATTATTTATCTAGACGCCTATTATATTGAAAGTGGAATTTACCCCAAAGCCCACCTTTCCAAATGCTCCTCTTCCCAGCACACAGAGACAATCAAAATCCTGAATGCTCAGCCGAGCTCCTTGCTGAATACTGCAAAGAAAAGAACACAATTTTAAATATATTTAAAATTACATACAGTCCCCTCCCTCATGAAAAAACAAAGACCCAAAACAAAATGCTCCTATAACACATAGTATACGTTAACAGCATTGATGAGAAAGATGAATATCTCAATACCCAGCTGATGATGATGGCTTTTCGACATCTGCTTCTGCCAATGGAACAGTGTCACAAACTAAACCCTTTGGTGGTTCAATGGTTTCTTCTACAATGTTATCAACATCAATAACTGCATCTTTCTCTGTTGGTGTTTGGATGTTGTTTTCCATATCAGTAGCAGCAGCTGGTGGTGATGATTCCACTTTCTCATTGTCCACTGCTGGCACTTGAGGCGTGTCAATAACTACAGCCTCCTCTGGAGCTGGTTGGATTATCTTTTCCATATCTTTGACAGCTGGCCGCAATGGCTCCACGCTCTCAGAGTCCTCTACTGGTAGTGAATGAGCATTAATAGCTGCATCCTCCTCTGGAAGTGGTTGGATTGTCTTTTCTGTAATTTCATTGACAGCTGGCATACATGGCTCCACGCTGTCCGTGTCCTTTACTGGCAATGGTGTAGTGTCAGTAACTAAATCCTCTTCTACAGCTGGTTGGATTGTCATTTCTAGCAAGCTTACAATAGCTTGTGGTGATGGTTCCATGCTCGCAGAGTCCTCTACTGGCAGTGGAGCATTGTCAATAATTCTAGCTTCCTCTGGAAGTGGTTGGATGATTTCTGCAGCGATGGCGTTGATAGCTGGCGGTGATGACTCCACAATCTCTGGGTCCACTACTGGTACATTGTCAATTTTTGTAGCTTCCACTAGAGGTTGTTGGAAGGTCTCTTCTGTAATGGTACAAGCATCGGGTGTTAATGGGTGCATGCTCTCAGTGGCTACTAGCAATATAGGAGAGTCGGTAACCACATCCTCTTCTGGAGCTGGTTGGATGGTCTTTTCTGTTTCAGGATCTAAAGTCGGCGCCGATGACTCCACGCTCTCAGTGTCCGATACAGACAGCGAGTGAGCATCAATAGCTGCATTCTCCAGTGGAGCTGGTTCGGTGGTCTCTTCTATAAAAGTAGCACAGAACATAACTTTAGTATTGTATATGATACACAGAGATCAATAATGGATGAATTGCTTTCATCATAATCCAAAAACTCTAACGTAAAAGCAAAACAAAAAAACAAGGAACACAATCTCCAAGCCTAGAACTTTATTTGAATGTATTAATTGTGAGTTATGGCTTATAATATTACAATAGCCAATTATGCCAATGCCTTTAGTGTTTAATGGGACTGGCATCCAGGGAAAATGATGAGCTTCAGGTAGGTATAAGTAATTTAATCTGTGTATACTGTATATGTTATAAGATGTACATCCTGCAGTATGGTTGTTAGAATGGATGTATATGTATCATTCTCTCTACCTGTAAGATAATGGAACGTGAAATCCCACACTGGTTACTGAGTGCATTCACACTGCTTGACAAGCTTGACGTTTTCTATCACACTGGGGGCTAGTACTGGGGTACAAGGCTTCATCGCTTGTCATTAACCAAATAATAATCATTTCTGCCTGATAGATGCCTTTAAAGGCCCATGGACAGTTTGCTATTTAATGCGAGGCATGTTAAACATACACTTACCTTGTTTTGTGGAGATTAATTTCCTAATTGTTTGAAGCTTTGGCCTTTTCTGGATGAAAGGACTGGAAAACGTCACCTATTCCAAAACAAGGAGAAAGAGTTAACTGCAGGAAGTAAATGGTAATATCTTATTTTGCCAAACCAACATATAAACAGACACACAAATGGAAAAGTAAACCGCTTCAAATCTGTTCTTCTACAGGTAATCGCAATAAGCAAAGCCCTTCATTTAGATAAATAGTTTAAAACATAATATAGTGTCCTTTAAGGCTAAAAATCCAAGGTACTACTATTGCTGACTTAAGGAATGCTTTCAAATCGCCTATTGTTACCTAAGTTGTGCATTTCAGTTTACACTTCAGTACAGTTTGATTTATATTTATACACTTATTCACCAAGTGTGAACATTCACCAGCTTTCAATTGTAAAGTTGTGTAATGTAATCATTCTTTTGTTTTCTGTATTATTACATTAAAATATAACTATAGGCGGAGTCTGACTGCTGGAGTGGACGGTCGCATGCTGCCCGAGCTCCGGGCCCAAGACCAGCAAATCAACAGAATACCAAGCCAAAACTATTGACAAATTGCTCCACTCACCTAATGGGCACTAGTAAGCAGTCCGGGGACACGGTGCATGCGGTAAACCCGCCGACGAACAGCTACTCCACGATGAGGCAACTGCGCGGCCTACGGGAGGCCGAGGCGGGGGGAGACGGCCGCTCTCCTTGCACTCCGGTTGACCGTGGAGCCCATATTTGCTCCCACCCTCCCCCCTATGGACCGGCGGGGGTCATCCCGGTCCCCCAGAAGGCACAGGCATGCTCACCCCGTCCTAGCCTGAGGGGCCCTGCAGAATCGGATTCCCACACGGAAGGAGCCAAGATGGCCGCCGGACCGAAACCCATCTCACCTCAAACCTCCAAGATGCGGGCCACCCAGAGGGACGGTATCGCCAGGGCCTTTGATGACTTCTGGGCCAAATACCAAGAACTAACTCTACAGAGCGAGGCACAGCGTGCTACCGAAGAACCGAACCACAGCAATAGATGGATTGACATGAATCTGGGCCAGGCAGACCCTAAGCAAGCCACGAGGAAACTGGAGGGAAAGTGGAAACACCACAACAGGTGGAGTGCCACCCAGGGCCTGACCCGGTCTCACCCACCAGTCCAACCGCAGCCTACCTCCAAGCGCACTTCTTACAGCACCTCAAGAAATACACTTAAGGCACAGAGGCCTCTCTCCACACATAGATCACGAGACCATCAGGCCGGTCATCATCACCGTCCACCCAAACACCCACCGAGAGACCCGGGGAAAATGCCACGATGGAACAAACATAAGCAGCAGTCTAAACCAGGATGGGGCCAAACTACAGCATGGAAAGCAGGGAGGAGAAGGCGGGAAACCCGACGCAAGCCCCTGCGGGTCAGCAACAGCCCACCAGCGGTGAGTCACCTAACTGAAAGGAGACAAACCCAAGGACTATCCACCCAAACCCCCCCTCCCCGCGCTGTGATCACAACCCCACCTGGGCAAAGACACCATGGCAGAGACCACCAGACTCCCAGGCACAGCCCAGCCCAGTACCACTACCTAAAAGTGCTGTGGCGCGATGGGGGACCTCCTCATACTCACCAAACTGCCTTAACAGAGGATACCAATCACCATAAAACCCACTATCCCCACCAGGGACAACAAGCCCACGACATGCTCATCACAAGACAGGGGACTTATGCAACCATACCCTCTGAATACACCTCGGCTGGACACTGGAAGAGCACTGACTGGGAGGACCCCCACCGCCTACTGCTCCGGGCACTAACCCGACGGCTGATGGGGATCGGTTAGACCACACAGGCTGGACATTACGTTACTTAGTACAGACGCAGCACACTAAGCTTAACACAATATGTGCACTCAATTTATTTTTTATTTTTTTTTATTTTTTTTCTATACCTGAGCTTATATTATATGTGATTGTATTATAATTATATATAATTATTAGCGCTAGTGGAATCTTAACAATCTAGAAATCGCTAAACAAATGTCACTATACCTTTCACTCATGCATAATATGCATGAGAAATGCCTTAATCTATAGTGCTAAATGTATGATCCTTCGCTATGTCTATACTCGTATCTTACCTTTTCTGTTGAGCAGCATAGAAGAACTCCTAGATAAGCAACATTACTATATAAAAATGTGCAGTACTCTTTCATGCCTAACTAATGTACCTATATGTTAGCAAACTGCTTACCCTAGCTGTTGTGGCATTGTAAGCCTGATGTGATATATCCGTGCACAAATAAAATAAAATAAATAAATAAATAAATAAAAAAAATAGTGAGCCATGTAGAGATGGCTCCATACCTTCGAAACATAAGCATGACAAGCAACGTTTTATTATAGAGTTTTACCCCTCATGCCTAGCCAGCCTCTCTGAGCTACCAAAACAAGTTCTATAGCTTAGACATGAGGAACAAGCCTTTATCCCATGGTTATCTACTTGAAGCTTGTCGTATTTTCACCCAGTATAGCACATTTAAAATTACATTAACATAATGACTCTGCATAGGCAGACACCGCAATACATGTGTTTAGCTCAGTCATATAATTCCATGTCTTAGCCTGTTTTCCTTTTATTGTGACTACTGGGTAATGCTTCCTAGTTAGCCAAGAAAAGTTACCTTTTGTTTTTTATGAAGCCCAGGGGAAAATCCTGTTTACCTATCTGTTAAAAAATGTGTGCAGTACCTTTCTATTCCACAAGCCTGTATTAACAATGTCACCCACTCTACTTGTTATTGCTATTGTGGCACAACAAGCGACTGTATTAACTGAATGCACCACAAAAATAAAGAATTAAAAAAAAAAAAAAAAATATAACTATAAATTGATGGTGGCCAGAGATTGGTTCTCACCTTGATGAAAAGGGTGCCCTGTGGTTCCAGTTGTAGGCACAGTTTCTGTTTCGGGTTCAACAGGAATTCTTCCAACTTCAGAGTCTTTGTGGCACACAGTGATCGCTGATCATGCCAATATAAGGATATTTCTAGCTCCCGAGACTATGTAAAAATTAAATGAGCAATAGTTATTTAAACAAAAAAAGTTTTGGACCAATCATGTTTTCGTAAGGAACAATTTCCACACATTTAAACCACATTTTATAATTTTCACATTAAAAGAACAAAATTGTTTTTCATCAGCATATAGAGGTTAGTAAATGAAAAGATATAAATTTGTTTAAAGTGTTATATTCTTTGCCCTATTACTAGCCATGCTACTAGTCTTCCATGTGTGGGCTTGAGCAGGACTTGCTCACTTTGAGAGATTAATCGCAGTTCATACCAGGTCAGGTGTACAGAGCATTAAAGGACCACTCTAGGCACCCAGACCACTTCAGCTTAATGAAGTGGTCTGGGTGCCAGGTCCTTCTAGGGTTAACCCATGTTTTTATAAACATAGCAGTTTCAGAGAAACTACTATGTTTATGAATGGGTTAAGCCTTCCCTCTAATCCTCTAGTGGCTGTCTCATTGACAGCCACGAGAGGCGCTTGCGTGCTTCTCACTGTGATTTTCACAGTGAGAGCACGCCAGCGTCCATAGGAAAGCATTATGAATGCTTTCCTATGTGACCGGCTGAATGCGCGCGCAGCTCTTGCCGCGCGTGCGCATTCAGCCGACGGGAGGAGAGAAGGAGGATCGGAGGAGGAGAGCTCCCCGCCCAGCGCTGGAAAAAGGTAAGTTTTTAACCCCTTTCCCCCTTCCAGAGCCGGGCGGGAGGGGGTCCCTGAGGGTGGGGGCACCCTCAGGGCACTATAGTGCCAGGAAAACGAGTATGTTTTCCTGGCACTATAGTGGTCCTTTAAGCAGACCCAGACGTGGTGAGTATGTAAACATAAAATCAGTTTGCACCTATACATTTTCTATCCACATGGCAAGCTTGTGTATTGGGGGAAATAAGTAATTAAACTGTGGTGGCAAATATTTTCTAAAATATGCACTATATCACAGATTGTTTAAAAAATCCTATAACAATATCTAGAGAAAGATAAACTAACCCAATGTTAAATAACTAAATTTTAACTGTCTGACACATTAAGGTCCTAAAAGGTTTAGAAATAAGAGTTAGACAACTATTTACAGGATTTGAAGATTTATAAATGATTAATTCTACCTGGGGCCACAAATGGATTAAAACTAAAACAAAATAAAAAAAATAATACACGCATGCCGTATGTACCTTATCTAAATCCAGTTTAAATGTCTTATTCCAGGATGGGTTAGAAACAGTTTTCCAACTTGTTGAACCCACTGGAATATGATCGATCTTCAGCTGAGTACGGACTTCACCTGTAAGGAAATTTCAGGAACTCAACTTAAAAGGCTGAGAGTATTTTAATTTAAAGAACATTTCTACGTGGCTTTGGTCAATACACAGACGATATACCATTTATATGCAGATGACACGCAAATCTACCTGTCCTCCCCTGATCTCTCTCCGCCCACCTTGACTCGTGTTTCTAACTGCCTCTCTGTTATTTCCAACTGGATGGCTGCTCACTTCCTTAAACTCAACCTGTCCAAAACAGAACTTCTAGTTTTTCCTCCCTCAAGTGCTGCTACTCCTGTGTCTGTCGCCATCCAAGTCAACGGCGCTACTATCACCTCTACCTCCCAGGCTCGCTGCCTAGGAGTTCTTTTTGATTCTGATCTCTCTTTACTCCCCATGTTCAATCGATAGCCAAATCCTGTCGCTTCCAACTCAAGAACATAGCGCGCATCCGCCCATATCTAACGCCGGACGCGGCTAAGGTACTGGTTCATGCTGTTGTTCTCTCTCGACTTGACTATTGCAATCCCCTTCTCACCGGTCTTACATGTTCCCAGCTTGCACCGCTGCAATCTATAATGAATACGGCTGCGAGGCTTATTTTCCTGTCCGGTCGCACCTCCCACGCCTCCACGCTCTGTCAGTCCCTGCATTGGCTTCCAGTTAGATATAGGGCCCAATTCAAAATTCTGGCGCTTGCTTACAAATCCCTACATAATGCTGCTCCAACATACCTATCCTCCCTCATACACAAGTATGTCCCGTCGAGACCCCTGCGCTCAGCCCAAGACCTACTCCTATCCTCTGCCCGGATCCCCACCTCTGATGCTCGCCTTCAAGACTTCTCCAGGGCTGCACCTATTCTGTGGAACTCCCTTCCCTCCTCAATCAGACTTTCACCCAGCCTCCATTCCTTCAAAAAATCTTTGAAAACTCACTTCTTTATTAAAGCGTATCAATTAAACTGTCAGCAGGTTTCTCATCCCCCACCCCATGACTCCGTTCCTTCACCTGTCAAAAATGACCTACCAAGCACTCAATAAACCCTTCTGTAACAAACTATTTAATTCCCCTACTTTAACCCTTTGTGTCACTATACCCCACTCCCTCTAGCATGTAAGCTCATCGAGCAGGGCCCTCAACCCCCTCTGTTCCTGTACGTCAGTGGTCTGATCTCAATTATGTGTCTGTTAGTCCACCCATTGTACAGCGCTACGGAATTTGTTGGCGCTATATAAATAATAAAATAATAATAATAATAATAAAGGTTCATCTATTAGCTTTACACAAAGCTCTAGGAGTTTACTTTCATCAAAGGAGTCTAATCTCCTGTATTCTGTAAAAAGCAAAAATTAACAAAAAACTAGACAAATTTATAGTCAGCCAGGTAATACAGTCTGAAAATAGGCAAAGAGATATATGTAAAATAACACTAGAACCAATTCACTAAAAACATGTTGAAAATGATGTTCCTGCTGTCGGTCTTTTTTGTTTGACAAATAATGTAAAGAATGGAGTTTGTACGATGAGTGAGTCCAAGTTTATATGTGGGTAGAGTAGTTAGGTGTTGATCTGCTACAACTTTTGAACACGATATAGATCGATATTGTGGTTTTGATTTTCATTTGAATAGCGATGTTTAGTGTAAATACATATTGTCCACAGATTTGGAAGAATTGTTTTACAGAGGTGCCTTCAATAAATAATTTGTGTAACCAACCCATTAGAACCAGGTAAGGGAGTTTACGATAAATAAGGCCATTGTAGGGCATAAGGCCTGTCTACCAACTTAAAATTTAGTTTGAGAGCTGCTGTAGAGACTAATGTTAAAAATGTCTTGTTATGGAACAATGGCCATCAAACGATCTGAACAGGTGTTGCAATGTATAATGGTACGGCAAAGTAGCAGTAAAAAGCTTCTTTTTCTTTTTAAAACTACTTTGCTATACATTGCAACACCCGTACAGATTGTTGGCTGACTAAAACTGTCCACTTGGTTTTTAATTTGGAGCAGCGCCATTTTTTTGGTAAAACTCAAGACTGAGATATCTAATGGATTTCCCTGATTCTGTATAGTCTCACTACACTAACACATGGAGACCTACAGCATGTCAACAATGTGGGACCAGGAGGTTTCCCACTGCAGCCTTGTTTTGGCACACTGGATTAAGGAGGTACCATCCTGCAGCCTTGTTTTGGCACACTGGATTAAGGAGGTACCATCCTGCAGCCTTGTTTTGGCACACTGGATTAAGGAGGTACCATCCTGCAGCCTTGTTTTGGCACACTGAATTAAGGAGGTACCATGCTGCAGCCTTGTTTTGGCACACTGGATTAAGGAGGTACCATCCTGCAGCCTTGTTTTGGCACACTGGATTAAGGTGGTCCAATGCTGCAGCCTTGTTTTGGCACACTGGATTAAGGAGGTACCATCCTGCAGCCTTGTTTTGGCACACTAGATTAAGGAGGTACCATGCTGCAGCCTTGTTTTGGCACACTGGATTAAAGTGGTC